CGTTTGACAGAGTAAAAAGTGTAGAGAAGGACAAATAAAAGTGGTTACCAAAATGATGTGTTCTTCGCTGACGTGTTTATTATTTTCAGCTCTTTGATCTTTTTTTTTCAACTTTTGATAAAATTTTTAAAAAATATATAGAGAAAAATTACAACGGCTATTCTATTTCGAAAATTCATAAAATGAAAAGTTGATGAATTTCTTGTTTTTATTCTTCCACATTTTTTGGTGCTGAGAAGTAGGAATTTTGTTTTATTTCAATGTGGAACCTTCTCGATTTGTTTCATTCCTTGATAACAAAGAAAAAGAATCTTTTATTTACCAGCATAATTTAAATTAATTTAGTTTTACGCTTCCGATCACCAAAACATTTTTCAGTGTACAAATTTAATGTTCTAAAAAAAACAAATTTTAACGAAAAAATGTTATACTGTGATTGATATGGAGTAGGGTTCACGAAAAACATTCTTTAGATTCCGAATATTTGTAAAATTTTAAAGCAAAACAAATACTAAATAAATATAGGGAAAATGGTTGTAACCTACTCGAAGTATGGGATAATATGTAGAAAACTATCCGAAGTATAAAAATGTGCTTTAAACTACACCAACTTATAAAAATATGCTTTAAACTACACGAAGTATGAAAAAATATATTGCAAACAACATATTGGGTTTTTAAAACTTAAAACGTGATTTTGGGGTCAAATTGTAATAAATTTTCTTAAATCCAATTTAATCAAATATCCGACCCGACCACTAGGAGACTCTCATGTGGCTCATTTGGATTTTGTATTTGGTTATAAACTATGTGAGGTTTATTGTAAAGTGATTGAGTTATATCTTATTAGAATTACGTTTGAAATCCGTATAGGAGTTTTGGACTAGATTGGATTTTCATTTTTGTTGTTTTGATTGTTCATATATGTTGGCTTCCAAGCTATGATAAACACGTCATGGGTTCTTCCCCCTATCCTTCACGCCATGCCCATCTATATTCCTAACACTCTGTTCATTCATTTTCCTCAAATCAAGAACACTACGATCTTACCTTTGAAAACGAAATGGCGTGTTTATCATTGTATAACCAGTTTTCAAATTTTAGCCAAGTATTCTGATTAAAATATCAAAATATCATTAGTTATCATTGTATTTGTTTTCTTTTGCTAAAATTACTTGGCTAAGTTTGTTTTTGGTTTGAAAACTGTTAAAAGCTGATACGCTAAATTTTTATGTTTATTATTCAAACTAACGATATTTTGATATTTTAATCAACTATAAGTTATATTGTTTGCTTTGTTTTCTCTGTTTTCACATAATTCACGACATTTGTATATATGTCATTCGTTTTTGTGTTTTAGAAAAATGTTGGGTCAAATTAATATGGCCCAGTTAAAATGATAATCCGAACCGGATCGGATTAAGTGATTGATCGGGTCGGATATTTGATTAAATCGGGTTTAAGAAATTTAATTACAATTTGGCCCTAAAATCACGTTTTAAGRTTTAAAAATCCAATATGRTGTTCGCAACYTGTTTTTTCATARTTCGTGTAGTTTAAAYCACATTTTTATAAATTGGTGTAGTTTAAAACACATTTTTATACTTCAGGTAGTTTTCTACATATTACCCCATACTTCGGGTAAGTTACAACCATTTTTCCATAAATATATTAGTATAAAGCAGAAAAAAAATAGCAAATATACTGAATACCCATATGATTATAGATATATGCTATTTATTATAAATATATCTAATAATGAATATCAGACCTAATTAATGTATATGATTACTTATAATAAAATTTTGTCTTTATAGATATACATGGCAAAAATATCAATATGTTTTGTGTTAAGATGATAATTTGATCTTAACGTTTTATTTCAAAAAGATCAGTACATATGATGGGTATCATTTTTTTTGAAACTTATTTCGAAAGCATATTATCAAGCATTAATTTATTTAAAATCACATTTTCTGAATTTATAGTGTTTATGTATTATTGTATGCTCTGAAGCCTACTATGGAGTAGCTGAATTCACCGTGCCATCTTATTCGCTAACCCAAGATTA